TTTGTTGGAATCCATTGACCTCTCTTGGTCTCTGTCTATTTCCTTTCTTCAATGTATTGCGGGAGGCGAATGATGTGGCGGATTCCCTTGCAAAACAGGGTTATTCTCTTGCTGATTTGGTGGTTTATGATGTACTTAGTTTCTAATTCCGTTATATATTTGTGATATATAAATAAGATTTTGGAACTTTCATAAATAAATAAATAAACCGCTTATTATTATGCAAAAGATGGAGTTTGCAAATAGATGGGGGTTTAAACGTTGTAGATTTTTAGATTTTGCGGAGTTTTTAGAAACAACATAAAGTGTGTGGATGTGGGTATGGTTATAGTATATAAAAAATTATAAAACCTGATGCACAAAACACGTATCAGAAATTGCATGCAATCCCAGAGAGAAAAACATATCAGAGAATTGAAGACAACTTGGTAGAGAGACATATCCGACAGTCGAAACACGACTCGACGAAAGTTACACCGACTGGCTCATCTTGAAAATCAACGATGAGGAATGGACACGACTAATATGAATCTAGTTGTGATACTATGTGAAGAGTCTCAGGTTTATCTGAAGAGACTCAGTGTCCATTGATCATATGAATATACAGATTTGTCTTTTATCGATAAATTACAGCTGAGGAAATATAAAAATAAATCATTAATCATATGAATATACAGACTTGTCTTTTATCGACAAATTACAGATGAAGAAATATAAAAATAAATCACAAAGTCCTATACTGATGTAGTGAAAAAAAATTTTAATTTTTATTATTATTAAGATTTTTTAGTTTATCTTTTAAATTAGGAGGTGCGCAGGGATATGTGACCATTGAGTTTGTGCGTGAGTTGATATTTATAGATTGATTTAGTTAGTTTAGGAATGTCAATATGATAAGGTTTAATATGGTTAGTTTAGGAATATAAATAAGATAAGGTTAAAACGTGGGGTTTATCTTTTCAACAATGGGTAAAACGTGGGTGGTACGTGAGTTTAAGAGAGAGAAGATAAGGATGAGAGAAAATAGGTTTAGGAAAGTTAGTTGTTTATCTTTTTCTTTTCTTTTTTTAGTCTATTTAAATGGACATTTCCCTTCATTGTAAAGGAAGTGAACGAGTTAATAAAATTTAGTCTCGTGAATATATTATTTTGGGCTGGATTCCCATGTAGATCTTGAGAGAGGGTATATTCTCTCAACTTTTTATTTTTATTTTTTCCATGTTATTTTCTCCATGTATCAATTGGTATCATAGCAAGTTAGGTCCAGAGTTTACAATGCCACTAAAAGTGAATCAAGCTAATCCTGCGCCGGCTATGGATGATTGTTGGGGAGAAAGTTTGACTAAAGCCCTAGAGGATTCTCGAGCTAAAGTATATGAGATGAATCAGGAGAAAAATAAGAGGATGCAATGCCTAGAGGATTTTCGAACTGAAGTACGCGAGATGAATCAGGATATGAATCAAATGATGCAACGATTGGATCAGAAGTTGCAGCGGTTGGAGAATAACCTTTTTCGCGAAGAAGATACTAGCAACCACATTAATCCTGCATCAAGAATTCCATGACAAAACTAGGGTGTTGATTTTGAGCGTAACGAAGATTACAGGCCACATATGCGACCTATAGAGTGACCACGAAAAGATCCGCGTCCTATAGAACGACCACGAGATTTTGGTTTTAAAGTCGACCTCCCAAACTTTCATGGTAAAGGCTTTATTGATTGGTTAATGAAATTAAAAATTATTTTGAATGGAGTAAATTGCCAGAGGAACGTAAGGTTAAACTTGTTGCTACCAAGCTACATGGGTATGATGCGTCCTGGTGGGAGCAAGTTCAACAATCCCTACTTCGTAGTGGGAAAGGAAAAGTTACTGACAAGCAAAAGATGAAAAAGAAATTGAAAGAAAATTTTCTTCCTGTGGATCATGAGCAAATTTTACTACAAGAACTCCAAAATTTTCTATAAAATGAAAAAAAAGTAGAAGATTATACTGGGGAGTTTTATCGATTAATTGCTTAAAATAACCTCCAAGAGACAGAAGGACAAAAGATTGCTCGATATGTAAATGGCCTTCAACCTACCATTAAGGATGAGGTTTTTCTACAGTACCCATGGACTTTAAGTGAAGCTTTTCAACTTGCTTTACGAGTAAAAACGAAATACCAATGGAGCATCGATAAGCGTTTTTACCCTCAGAGGAGGTTTTACGCCTACCGAAATTTAATGAAGAAAAAATAGATAATGCAAAGTTTATATGTTATTAATGCAACGAACCAGGACATCGTTCGTTTGAATGGCCAAAAAAGAAGATGGAGGTACACTTGACTAAGGAAGAGGAATAAGTTCCAGAATATTACATTAAACAAATGGACCTCCATGGTGATGAACAAGGAGATCCGCTTTGAATCAAGCTCGAGGTCGAGCTTCTCTCAACCTCGGGAGAATGATGCAGTGAAAAAAAAAAAGAATTTTTTTTTTTTAATTATTCTTTGGAATTTTGAGTTTATCTTTTAAATTAAGAGGTGCGCAGGGATAGGTGGGCATTGAGTTTATGAGTGAATTGATACTTATAGATTGGGTTAGTTAGTTTAGGAATGTAAATAGGATAAAGTTAAATATGGTTCGTTTAGGAGTATAAATAAGATAAGGTTACAACGTGGGGTTTATCTTTTCAACAATAGGTAAAACGTGGGTGGCACATGAATTTAAAAGAGAAAAAATAGAGATGAGAGAAAATAGGTTTAGGAAAGTCAGTTGCTTATCTTCTTTTCTTTTTTTTAATCTATTTAAAGGGACGTTTTCTTTGATTGTAAAGGAAGTGAATGAGTAAATAAAATTTAGTCTTGTCAAGAGATTATTTTGGGGTGAATTCCCTTACAGACCTTGAGAGAGGGTATATTCTCTCAACTTTTTATTTTTATTTTTTCAGTGTTATTTTCTTCCTGCATCATATACTACACCCAGACTTACCATAAATACAAGGTAGTGTATCTACGCTTCCCAAATATACAGATTACAATATACACCTTCCATATCAACCGGATATATAATATATACTTTCATTTCACAAGTACTTCTACAAATTCCAACAAAATCAAATAGTTCTCCTTAACCTAGTGCTCTATTTTATTATTATTCCAAATTAAAGTGCTTTTCAAATAAATTTTGGAGGGCATATGGGTAACAAATTTTTGAGGTGCACCTAAAAAACCGACTAGAAAAGGTGGTTCCTATGCTGGAAAATTTTCAAATTGATCATCTAGATCTCAAGATTCATAGACATGAAAAAATGGGACTTTTAGTCCTGAGAATAATTCAATCTTCTAACACTTATCTTGACCATCTATATTCAAGATTTTCAAGTGTTTCTAAATCTACTTGATCGTCACTACTTATAAAACTTTAAATTTCATGATCGGGGGCAACAATAGATTTTTATATCATCACAAGGCTTTTGTGGCACTGAAACTGTGTTTTCGGCATAGTTTTGAAGTGCGTATGAGGTTAACCCCTTAAACAAACCTCACCCTATTTATATTAAGTAGTAAATAAAAAAGTTACCTATAACAACTAGTAAAATTATAAGTTCCAAAAAGGAAATACTTGTACATCAACTTTGAAATGGTAATGAAAAACACTAATTACCAAGTTAAAAGAAAAAAAAAATGCAAAAATGTCAAAAAATATGAGTAGGTTTTGGCAATATAGAATAAAAAAGTTTATATTAGGTGTCAACCTGACACTGTAGAAGTAAAGCCCCACATCATAAACATCAAAACATGGAGGTAAATGTTGTTTCAAATTTGGAAAACCATAAAATTAATCATCTTGACTTTGAGATATGTGGCTATGGAAAAAAAAAGGTGGGTCAACTTCTAAAAACAATACATCTTGTGATACATTATCTAGATTCATGACCATCAATTTTCAATATTTTAAAATATTTATAGATTTGCTTGACCTACAATAGTTTGAGAGTTTTAGATGTTTTAAATAAGAATAATAATAGATCATTATTTTGAGATTTTCAGTTTCGTTCACGCAAATATTTACACATGTAAATCTTGTTTTATACGTTTGATCATGCAAATGCATATGAAAATAAAATAACACAGTAAAATCTTTTATTGTGAAATGGTCTAATTTATGGTAAAATGAAAATCACACGGTTGAGGTGGGGAAATATTCCTCATCATTTATTTTCACACGTGGATCCACTATTCACTATTTATAATACAATATATTATTATAATATTTTTTTATGAATAAATTATATATTTAATATATAAATTATATTTTAAAAACTTTGTTTGTTTAAAGTGGAAGCTTTACATAAAGGGTATGGGTTGTGTAGAGTTGAGGCTCTAAACGATCAAATTAGGCCTACCTTCAAACAATACCAAAAAATATAGTTTCAATACTATAAATCTTTGTGATAGCCTTAAAATACATTTTCATCAAAATACATTTTCATCTTTAATTATAAAATTTAAAGCTTGAAAAATAGTGTAGATCGAGCATATCTATGAAAACTTGAAAATTAACAAAAAAAAATGCGTTATAAGATGCACTGTTTCTAAAATTTGAAATCTATTTTTTTTTTCTCATATCCATGCATCTTCTTGCAAAGATGATCAATTTGAAAATATTTGGGTATCAAAACAAGAAATTTTTTTAAGTGGGCTCTAATTTGATTGTTGAGAGCCTCGGCTCTAAATAAACTTTTCCCTTACATAAACTGTGCCCCATGAGAAATTCATGGGTTGTTCTCCTCTCTTACCTAAGTAGGTGATGATGGTATGCTGCCTTTAAGGGTATATGGGCTATTTCCAACATATGGAGGGGCATTATTGAAAGGAGATCCCTGGTTCTTCGGTTTTCTTTTGACAAAAAATAAAACTGGGAGAATCAATAAGGATGGCGGGGAAATTCAAAAAGTTGGAGGGAAAACAACAATAGGGACTATAAAAGATTCAAATTTCCCATTTCGCAATTTTTTCATCATCATGGAAAAGATCAATGGCGATTCACATACACAGGATTTCAGCCTCTCCTTCACATTAAATTCCGAGGTATTATGGTTTGAAGAAGAGTAAAAAAACTAGTTAAAAACTCCTGAAATGGCTTTTTTCTTTTTTTCAATATTTCTGGTCATTTTTGTTCAATAAATTATGGGTTTTCTTCATTTTTACAGATTGCTTCTCCTTCGCTTTCACTTCTCTCTGGTTAGATTCATCACTTTCAGTTGCTTCCATTTTCTTTGTCACTTCTACAGTTATTTTTTCACTGATAGAAAAGGTTGTTTCGACTTCCTTCTGCAAATTTTTGTTTATCCGACTGTTAAGTTTTGGGTCTTCTTTTGATCTTTTGAGCAGAGCTTCCGCATATAAGGAACTGGTTCTCAAGTTACAGGTCTGATTACTCGCAGAAAGATTCTAATGGCGAAGATTTTTGGGGTTCTTTATCTGAAACTGCCGATCAAAAAGAGGAAAAAGAAAGGAGCAAAGACCTTGACTTGGACAAATGTGAAAACCCTAAACTAATTGGCGCTCCCATTTATGATGGAAAGGGCTGTGGGGCAGAAGAGAAGGGTGGGTTTGATTTGGTGAAAGAATGTGAAGGCCCCCAAAAAGGAGGAGATTTCCTTTTTGGTGAGAAGATTAGGGGAAACAAAGAGAATCTTGGTTTTGATTTGGGGAAATTTGTGGTCTCTGCTAAATCTAGAGGTGCTTCTATCTTTAGCAAAAGGAATTGGGATGAAATGATGAAGAATCATTCAGTACAGGTTCAGTGCTTTTGTTTTCTTCATTTCTTATTTTTTAGCTACCCAATTTTTTCTGGTTTTGCATTTCTGTGTGTGTGTGTGTGTGTGTGTGTGTGTGTGTGAGAGAGAGAGAGAGAGAGAGAGAGAGAGAGAGAGAGAGAGAGAGAGAGAGAGAGAGAGAGAGAGAGAGAGAGAGAGAGAGTAGTAGTAGTAGTAGTAGTAGTAGTAGTAGTAGTAGTAGTAGTACGTAGTAGTAGTACGTAGTACGTAGTAGTTACGTTAGTTACGTTAGTT